GTCCATAACCAATTCAAATTATGAAAAATTTACAAAAATTATTATCAAATTTTTATTTTTATTTTAACGATGGACAAAAGTTTTGAAACTCAAGAAAGCATCCTTTTATGATACGACATTACCAAAATCAAACTTGTGAGTTATTACCAAATAATAATTACTACTATAACATTTTTCTAATATACGTTGTAGTGTATAAATTTGGAAGTTCACTTATTTTATTTAATTACAAAATTTTTGGAGTATTTTTAAAACGGGTAAAGATTCATAATACCTTTTTTATTTTTTTTGTCTAAAAATATCCTTAATCTAACCTGAAAAGAGACTGATTTTGAATTTCAAACGTGAATGAGAAAATAACTACTAAGATTGTGTGACTAAAAATAAGGAGAGATTTATGGAGTGAAATAAGGAAGGAATAACATTGATTTTGGGAGTTAGAATTAATGTATCCAACTTTTGGAGGTTTGGGAATAAAATAAGGGGTTTTGGAAAATTTTAGAACTAATAGGGAATAATGGGAATTATGAAAACAAAAGGTGTGTATATAGGTAAATTCTACATTTATGTTATAGCAAGATTCCAAGAAAGAGGTCATAGCATAAACGTGGATAATATAAAAGTAACTGATGAGGAATATTTAAGGATAAATAGGAAGACTTTAGTCTTATTAATTAGTAATAGAAAATTAAAGGCCTTATTAAGAGATTGACTTAATAAAAGTTAGTCACTAGAATACATTTGGGGAAATTTGAATGGATATGTTTCACACTTTATTGCCTTTGTTAAACTTTTACTTTTTTGGTTATTTTATAGAAAAGTATTTAATAAATTAGCATTTATTTAAATGTAAAATTATTTTTTAGCAGAAAATATTATAGGGAAGCTAGTTACTTGAATACATTTGGGGCAATTTGAATGGACATGTTTCACACTTTATTGCCTTTATTGAACTTTTATTTTTTTGGGTTATTTTATAGAAAGTATTTAATGAATTAGTATTTATTTAATCGTAAAATTACCTTTTTAGCACAGAATATTATAGGGATAATGGTATATTAAAGGATAAAAAGGTCATTTGATTTTGTATGAACATTTTGGTTTTTCAACTTTTAGTTTGGTAGCTAGAATAGTTTTAGTTAATGTGATATTAGTAGGAATATAATATGATATGTTTACTATTTAATACTTAACACGTTTTATAACATTATAATATGATATTTGGTGTAATATAATATGATTACTATTTACTATTTAATTAATTAGATATTTTATAACATAATAATATGATATTTAGTGTAATATGATATGATTATTATAAGAGAAGATGAAAGATAGAAAATAATTAATAACTAAAGAAATTTATAATGCTATAACTAAAGAATCTAAGAGGGTGTGAAAAATATTTGTAACAATCATATAATATTAAAAAGGGGAAGCTTCAATTTTCAAAGTTGGACTAAGAGAATTCATAAACGTCATAAATAAAGAATTAAAATGTCATAGATGGGTTTCTAATTAATTCTGCATTAATGTGAATAAAATAGGACTTTAATTAATTTTTACTATTTATTTAGATAGCCGATTAGGTTTTAATTTAATGTAGGTGCAAAACAGTAATCCAACTTTGATTAAGTTTTTCTTTGGAAAGTAAAAAACCATGATCAACATGATTTAAGTACATAATTTTCGTTTCCTTTCATTTTCACTTTCCAATTATTTTCTTGTGCTTTCCTGTTAATGGAACACATAGTTTGAAAGTTAAGTAATCAGGGTTTACTTTAATCCACAATTCTGTGGAAATGTTCTTACTTTATTTCCACATTTTGGTGGTCAATCCAACCAAGTCTTTTAATTCCACTTGCATTTTAACAATCAGGGAACTAAATTTGGGGGTATTTGGATTGACTTTTTTATTATGAAGATGAAATATATGCGTCTATCTCAATTCAAAATCTAGCTCATAAGGAGAAGTTTGCTCAAATTCATATAAGGAGACCATCAGTCCATCCCCAACCAATATGGAACTTTGATCTACTCTTAACATTTTTAAAATAGCTTATTTAGCTTAAGAGAAAGTGTCTAAAAGAATTATTTTTTTCTTTTTAAAACCACCTTTTGTGTTTTCCAAATATCTCCAAAAATAAAAGTAAAAAACTTAAAAGCCAGAAGTTACTTAAAATAAGCCAATTCAAACAGGGGCAAAACTAGGTAGGGTAGAGGGGTTCATCCAAATCTGCCCTTCGACGGAAAACTACACTATTATACTTGATTAATTTTTTATTTTTTTTATATATATACATATATAGAAGATGTTGAATACCTTTTTGCTTCTTTGTCTATTTACTTTTTCATAATTTGAACCTCCTTAGTACAAATTTTGGCTCCATCATTGAATCCAAACACCCATTAACTCAGTAAGAGTGGTAATGATTTTAAAAAAAACATATATAGAACTTCATCCTACACAAGTTCTTCACAAACGAAAAGAATCCTTTAGCCTTGGAGATGGATCCCAAAATACTTTATTTCCTTCCTCTGGTATATCTCTTCACAATTACTTTTGCTTCCACAGAGGAAGCAACAACTCTTCTTAAATGGAAATCAACTTTCAAAAACCAGAATAATTCCTTATTGGCTTCTTGGACACTAAGTCATCCTGCTGCTGCCAAGAATTTTTCGAGCCATGATCCATGCAGGGACTGGTATGGAGTTAAATGCTTTAATGGTCGAATAAACAGGTTGAATATTACAAATTCTGGTGTCATTGGTACACTCCATGATTTTCCATTTTCATCTCTACCTTTTCTTGAATATATTGATTTTAGCATGAACAACCTTTCTGGTCCCATTCCTGCAGAAATAGGGAAACTTACCAACCTTGTCGAAATTGATCTTGATACAAACCAGTTAACAGGTCATATTCCTCCGGAAATAGGCAACTTGATCAATGCAAAATTGTTCTATGCTTACTCCAATGAATTGTCTGGTTCCATTCCTATTGAAATAGGGAAGATGAAGTCACTTGAAAGTTTAAGCTTACAGAAAAACAATCTTTCTGGTCCAATTCCAAAATCTTTAGATGACCTAACTGAGCTCAAAATTTTGTACCTTTATTCTAACCAACTTTCTGGTCTCATTCCTAGTGAGTTGGGGAATCTGAAAAACCTCAATGAGCTAGATTTATCCGATAATAAGCTTAGTGGTTCAATTCCAATTACTTTAGGTGACTTAACTGGGCTCAAAATTTTATACCTTTATTCTAACCAACTTTCTGGTCTCATTCCTAGTGAGTTGGGGAATCTGAAAAACCTCAATGAGCTAGATTTATCCGATAATAAGCTTAGTGGTTCAATTCCAATTACTTTAGGTGACTTAACTGGGCTCAAAATTTTATACCTTTATTCTAACCAACTTTCTGGTCTCATTCCTAGTGAGTTGGGGAATCTGAAAAACCTCAATGAGCTAGATTTATCCGATAATAAGCTTAGTGGTTCAATTCCAATTACTTTAGGTGACTTAACTGGGCTCAAAATTTTATACCTTTATTCTAACCAACTTTCTGGTCTCATTCCTAGTGAGTTGGGGACAGGGCCAATACCAAGAAGCTTTAGCAAGTGCTCGAGTTTCAAAAGAGTTCGGTTGGATAACAACAGTTTTACTGGAAATTTATCTGATGCTTTTGGCATCCATCCACACCTTTACTTCATTAATTTGAGCGAAAATGATTTTTATGGTGAACTCAGCAGCAACTGGGGGAAATGCAAGAGTTTGACTGATTTGCGGGTAGCCAGAAATAACATTAGTGGTAGCATACCACCGGAGATTGGAAACCTCAAAGGGCTTCAAGGACTTATTCTTTCATCCAATCATTTGGTTGGACAGATACCTAGGGAATTAGGAAAATTAACCTCTCTGGTTAATCTTCTTTTGCGAAACAACCAAATTTCTGGCAATATTCCTATGGAACTTGGGTTATTGACAAAGTTAGATTACCTTGATCTATCAGACAATAGATTGAATGGTTCGATCCCACCGTTTATAGGAGATTACCAACACCTGTTTCACTTGAACCTGAGCAACAACAAATTTGGCCAAAAAATTCCAATAGAGATTGGGAAGATAACTCAACTTAATGTACTGGATTTGAGCCGTAATCATCTTGTTGGAGAAATCCCCCCTCAGTTAGCCAATTTGAAGGTGTTGGTAAACTTAAATCTTTCACACAATGGCCTATCTGGGCGCATTCCTCAAGAATTTGAAAGTTCAACTGGTTTGCAGGATGTCGTATTGTCATACAATCTGTTGGAAGGTCCAATCCCTAATAATAAAGCTTTTATCAATGCCTCATTGGAGGGTAATAAAGGTCTTTGCGGCAATGTAGTAGGAATCCATCCCTGCGGAATGCCGTCTTCTGTGGTGAAGAAGCACTCAATGGCGAAGGGACGTAAACTCATCCTCATCATTGTACTTCCTGTTATGGGAGCACTTGTCATCCTCATCACTGTACTTCCTGTTATGGGAGCACTTGTTCTACTCTGTGTTTTCATTGGTGTTCTGTTTATGTGTGACAAAAGAAGTAGAGTTGGAGATGTTGAAAGACGGGATAGTGATGGTTGGCTTTCGATATCCATGTTAGATGGGAAGGCATTGTACAGGGACATCTTAAACGCCACAGAAGAGTTTGATGCAAAATTTTGCATCGGGCAAGGAGGACACGGAAGCGTTTACAAGGTAAACCTTCCATCATTAGGGAATATAGCTGTGAAGAGACTTCATTCTTCATTTGAGAATACACCTCCCAAAAGTTTCTTAAATGAAGTAAGGGCATTGACTGGGATTAAGCACCGGAACATTGTGAACCTCTATGGCTATTGTTCGAATGCACAACACTCGCTCTTGGTTTATGAGTATGTGGAGAGGGGGAGTTTGTCTAGCATTTTGAGCAACAAGGTTGAGTCCAAGAAATTGGATTGGTTTAAAAGAGTGAATATCATCAAGGGTGTTGCTTTTGCTTTATCTTACATGCACCAGGACTGTTCACCCCCGATTGTCCATCGAGACATAAGTAGCAGTAATGTTTTGCTTGATTCTGAGTATGAAGCTCGTGTTGCAGACTTTGGCATAGCGAAGCTACTCAAGCCAGATTCATCGAATTGCACTGCACTTGCAGGCACATATGGCTATGTTGCACCTGGTAAGTTTTAAATATTTCATGAAAGCCAAACACTATTGTTTTTATCTTATTTACAAGTTTAAATTGATAATATTGTTCTGGAAACTGTATTGTTCAGAGCTTGCATATACAATGAAGGTTACACAAATGTGTGATGTCTTTAGCTTTGGAGTGCTATCATTGGAGATAATAAAAGGAAAACATCTTGGGGAATACATTACCGTGCTAGCAGATTCATCGACTATAGATCCTGAGCAGCTTAGCAATTTTCTGGATGAACGCCTTCCATATCCTGAAGATAGAGTAAACGAGGCGTTGGTTTTTATCATCAAGCTAGCATGCTCTTGTTTGCTTGAAACTCCAAAATCAAGGCCAACAATGCACTTCATCTCTCATAAGTTATCATCAATGGATGCACGTCCACCTATTCATCAGAGAAACCCCCATGTAAGGCGAGCAATATAATCCCTGATATGTATGGAAATGAATAACCTTTGTTGCTGATTGGTTGTGAAGTATGTATTTCAATTGCTGGGCCTAGTATTGTTAGGGTCCTCATTTGGTTTACTTTATTAATATGCATATTGTAAGAGGTATTATTTAATCTGCTGCTTCTTTGGCCTTGGGTAAAAACCAGGATTTCAAGTTGCTGCATTTTTATTTTTTTTGCTTTCGATTGGCCTAGAACATATGCAGGAGCACTAGTTTTAGTGATTTACTAGTCTTTTAGTTTTCGACTCTTTAACAATTTCCTTTTGGCCATGATTGATTGAAGCAAATTTAAAGAAGTTTAGAATCAAAGTTCTGCTAAGTTGTAAACCTCTGGAGCCAGGAACAGGGGAATTTTGGCATTATGGGAAGGAATAATTGCTTTAATTCAAGTTACAAAACGGTGAAGTCACTGTTGTTAATAACCTCGACTCAAGGAAAAACATTCTAAAGCAGTCATGAACAAGAAGTAAAGGAAGTATAAGAAACAAAAGATAATAACAAAAAATGGTAACAGCAACATCAGGTAGCAATAGAACAGAACTGCAACAAAACAATAGGACAAACCTACAACATATGGGAAATACTACGACTACTATGTTACACATTGTTCTTCTTACGATTTTAAAGATTTTATTTGTATGCATAGAAGCCAAAAGATCCGTTCTGTTCAAGACTTTCCCCAACTGAATATACAGTTGTGCTTCAGTGAAATGACCAATGGGATTACTATTTGTCCATTGCTGGAAGCCTGAGCCAGTTTTTACATCCACGGAAATACTATAAATAACAAACTCCAATACAATTTGTCAAAATAACAAGCCTAACAAACTCATTTAACATTGTTTTTCTAATTCAAATGGAAGAAAAGGAGAATCCAGGTCTTCTTCTTGGCTGGTCCACAAAATGACTTAATGATCTACCTCTTCTAGGAAAATTTCTTTGCTAAGGGAGTAAAAAAACACGATCTACCTCCAAAATTCACTAAAACACGAACAGTTTTTAGCTTATAACTTTATAACCAAAGGGACTACATCTAATACCTTACACAATTGCAATACACCCAATTATAGCAATTCATTCCAGATTACACTCCTCCTAGTTTAAAAAGTATACTCAAAAACTTCAATACTTTGATTACCTACGCACAACTTCTATGAAAGCAAATAGGTTACAAATCAAGAACAAAAATACAACCCAAATCAACCAAAGAACTAAAGTTGGTTAAATTTCTCACATGTAAAAATTAAATAATTTTACAGATTGATAAAATGAAAAATGTTATGTTAACTCAAAGTGGTTTGGTACAAGGGATGAGATAAGTTAATCCAGCGTTTTCCATTTGATCAATTTGTAACCATATCTTTTTTATTTTTTCAAATTTAGCACTAGACAAAGTGTCCAGCGGCCTTTTATTAATAATAAAAAATCTCAATAGGGATAAGTACAAGCAAGGGGGGCTAGGTCTTACCTTACCAATCCTAATGCAGTAGCAAAACTCTACTAACTAACAAGCATGAAGAAAATACGAGTTAGAGAGAACTAGGTATTTTGTGATCACCACAAAATTTGTAATACACCCTATGATTATATTACAAATGAGGATGCTTAAATAGTGCAAAAATATAACAACCAAGAAGAAGGTTGAGTTATCAACCTCAAACTTCCTTTTAAAGATGCATGAATTAAAAAGAGTAATGGTTGTTAAATTTAACCAACATTAGTTCTAATAAAGAGTATCCTAGTAACTAAATGATATTGCTTAGTAAAAGAGAAAAAGCAAACATGACTGCTTTTTGCTTGTCAAAAACATAGCTTTCAATGTCTGTTTTTGGTATTTTTGGTGGAAAACAAGTAATGGTTGATTTTGATGGATAAAGTAAAAAGGAGGGGCCGGTTCTTCTTTCCCACTAATAAAGTAACTTGCAAATTGACTCAAATTTACTTTAATAAAATATTATAATAAAAAATAGAAAATAAGTTGAACAACAATCTCAACTATCCATGTTTATAAGTCCATGTGTTCATCATCTAAATATGCATTAACAAGTACTAGAGCTAAGCTCACTAGATCGAGCAGAGCCAAATCTGAGTTAGATCTTAATAGCTTATGCCTACTAAGCATAAGTTCGATCGCTAAATAGTAAAAATTAAAAACCAGCCTATTTGAAAGACAAGTCGTGTTATTTCTTCCTATTGCATGTCCAGTAAGTTGTCAATTAAGAAGTGACTTTTGAATATATTTTGCAGAATATCTCCCAATATATTTCCACAACTTTAAGCAAAACTAGAATAATATAGTCTTGCACTGTCGATACATTGACTCATTAACTTCCAAGTCTTTCTTAGTCTTCCTGTAATTTAATGATTCTCTACACAATATAAAACTCTACTCTGCACAAGTTTTTCGATAACCAAAACAAACAACTGAAATCTTTTAGCTTCCAAGATGGTTCCAAAATTATTTTATTTCCTGATGTTTTTCACTCTCTTCACTGTTACTTTTGCTTCCGTTGAGGAAGCAACTGCTCTCCTCAAATGGAAAGCTACTGTCCTAAGCCAAAATAATTCCTTACTGGCTTCATGGACACTAAGTACTGATGCATGCAGGGGTTGGTATGGAGTTATATGTTTTAATGGTCGGGTAAACAAGATCAATATTACAAATGCTGGTGTTGTTGGTACACTCCATGATTTTCCATTTTCATCTCTCTTGTTTCTTGAATATGTTGTCTATCTTGACTTGTCGACCAACCAGATTACTGGTTCAATTCCAAGTACTCTGGGTGACTTAACTAAGCTCAATATTTTGTACCTTTATGAAAACCAACTTTCTGGTCCCCTTCCTGCAGAAATAGGAAAGATGAAGTCACTCGAGTATTTATCCTTATGGAGTAATAATCTTTCTGGTCCAATTCCAATAACTCTTGGTGACTTAACTGAGCTTAATGTTTTGTACCTTTATTCAAACCAACTTTCTGGTCCCATTCTTGCAGAAATAGGAAAGATGAAGTCACTCGAGTATTTATCCTTATGGAGTAATAATCTTTCTGGTCCAATTCCAATAACTCTTGGTGACTTAACTGAGCTTAATGTTTTGTACCTTTATTCAAACCAACTTTCTGGTCCCATTCCTGCAGAAATAGGAAAGATGAAGTCACTTGAGTATTTATCCTTATGGAGTAATAATCTTTCCGGTCCAATTCCTAGTGAGTTGGGAAATTTGAAAAACCTCACTAGATTGGATTTATCCTATAATCAGCTTACTGGTCTTGTTCCTGTTTCCTTTGGCAATTTGAGAAACTTGCAGACACTAAATCTCGCTGCGAACGAACTTTCGGGTTCTATTCCAAAAGAATTTGCATATTTGGATAGCTTGGTTTTGTTTTCAATGAGTTTCAATCACTTTTCAGGCTTGACAGAGTGGCTTTGCAAAGATGGGAAACTTGAGATTTTCGTTGTGAATGGTGGGAAACTTGAGATTTTCACGGTGAATAGTAACAAGCTTACAGGGCCAATCCCAAGAAGCTTGAGCAAGTGCTCGAGTTTCAAAAGGGTTCGCTTCAATAACAACAACTTTACTGGGAATTTATCTGAAGCTTTTGGCATCCATCCAGAGCTTCGGTTCATTGATTTGAGCGACAATGATTTTCATGGTGAACTCAGCAGTAACTGGGGAAAATGCAAAAATTTAATTGGTCTGTGTGTAGCCAGAAATAACATTAGTGGTAGCATACCACCAGAGATTGGAAATGTCAAAGGGCTTTTAGGACTTGATCTTTCATCGAATCATTTGATTGGGCAGATTCCAAAGGAATTTGGAAAATTAACTTCTCTGGTTAAGCTTTCTGTGCAGAACAACAATATCTCTGGATATATACCGGAGGAACTTGGGTCACTCAAAAAGTTAGAGTCCCTCGATCTATCGTACAACAGATTGAATGGATCAATCCCGAAGTGTATAGGAGATTTCATGCACTTGTTTCAGTTGAACCTGAGCAACAAGTTTGGCCAGAATATTCCAAAGGATATAGGAAGGATAACTCAGCTTAATGTACTTGATTTGAGCTACAATCTTCTGGTTGGAGATATACCCCCTCAGTTAGCCAATTTGAAGGTCTTGGTAAACTTAAATCTTTCCCACAATGGCCTATCTGGACGCATTCCTAAAGAACTTGAAAGTTCATCTGGTTTGCATGATGTCGTTTTGTCATACAATGAGTTGGAAGGTCCAATCCCTAATAATAAAGCTTTTATCAATGCCTCATTGGAGGGTAATAAAGGTCTTTGCGG